CCCCTAGCTGCTAAGACTCTGCTTCCTTCTCCGGCTCTCTAATTTGTCCCTCCCTCCCTCCCTGCGCCCATCCTCAGCCCTAGAAGTCTGACTCCTATTCCTCTTCCCTCCAGCCTTCTCCTCCGTACCCAGCCTCCCTCTCCCAACACCCCAGGGCTCTCCTACACCAGGCTGTCGGCTTTGCTTTTCCTGCCCTCCATCTGCTGTCTGCTGCTCAAGCTACTCCCCCCAATCCCCAAACTTCCCTCCCTTATGCCTCCCCCCCAAATCCTAGGTCTCTAAGTTTTCTCCTTGTATCTGCTCCAAAAGCAGAAGCCACTGGATTAGCTTGGATGGGGAGGGGAGGCCGGACAAAGGTGTGTGTGTGAGAGCCTACCTTCCTCTTCTCATGCTAGAGTCCAATGGGGATGAGGACAGAATCTAAAACAGCGCCTGGTACTGAGCAAGTATTTAATAAATATTTGGGTTTTTTGAGTCGGAGTCTCACTCTGTCACCCAGGCTGGAGTGCAATGGCACGCTCACAGCCACCCACCCTCGGCCTGTTGGGCTCAGGCAATCCTTCTCGCCTCAGCCTTTGAAGTAGCTGGAACTGCAGGCGTGCGCCACCATGCCTGGCTAATTTTTTGATTTATGGTAGAGATGTGGTCTCGCCAAATTGCCCAGGCTGATCTCAAACCTCTGGACTCAAGGCATCCTCTCGCCTCTGCCTCCCAAAGTGCTGAGATTACAGGCGTGAGCCACCAAGCCCGGCTATACATATTTGTTGAATTAATGAGTGAATGAGGCTGGGAACGGTAAGAGGATGACCTGAGTCCCGAGGTTTGAGATCAGCCTTGGACAATCTGGTGAGACCACGTCTCTACCATAAATCAAAAAATTAGCCGGGCGTGGTGGCACATGCCTGTAGTTCTAGCTACTTGGAAGGCTGAGGCAGAAAGGATCGCCTGAGACCAGCAGGCCAAGGCTGTGGTGGCTGTGGGTGTGCCACTGCACTCCAGCCTGGGTGACAGAGTGAGAATCTGATTTTTAAAAAAAAGAATGAATGAAATAGAAATGGGCACTAGTCTTAGGGAAATGTCAACTTGCTGACATAAATCACTTATTGTCTGGATTCTTATTATTCTTCTTTTTGAGTCAGGGTCTCACTCTGTTGCCCAGACTGGAGTACAGTGCCACCATCATGGCTCACTACAACTTGGACATCCTGGGCTCAGGTGATCCTTCCACCTCAGCCTCCTGGGTGGCTGGGATTACAGCCACGTGCCATTATACCTGGCTAATTTTTGTAAACTGTCTTTTAGTGACGAGGTCTTGCTATGCTGCCCAGGCTGATCTCAAACCCGTGGGCTCAAGTGATCCTCCCACCTTGGCCTCCCAAAGTGCTACAAGCATGAGTCACAGAGCCTGGCCACTTCTTTTCTGGATTAATGTCCAGGTCTCCCATGGACTTTCTGCACGGTCTGTACCCACCACCTCAGCTCTCCTGCACCTCACCGATGATAGGTCAAGCATCCTGATGCCACTCCATCTTGGCACTCACACCCAGTGTCTCTAGAGTCCTAACTATGACATCCAAGATTGTCCTCCCAGGTCTCCATCACCTGTGCCATCTCCACTCCTGCTGGTCCTTATACAAACCCTACGGCCCAGCCTGCCCTGTGGTTTTGACATTCACCAAACCCTCCTACTTTTTCTCAGACCCATTTCCATCCCAGCCAGCCCTTTCTCCCAACTCCATTCACTGCCCTTGGTCCCTTTGACCCCAACCTCCAATTCCTGTTCCAAGTAGGCTGACAGGTGGGAGCTTCACACTTCCTCAGCCTTCACCCCAACCCTGCATGTCCCTGAGATACCCCCTGAATTCTTCCACCTCCATCACACAACCAGACCCAAGATGGGGGCATATGGTGGAGACAGCAGGAAAGTCATGCTTACTTCCTTCACAGATCGTTGGGTCCATGTCCCCTGCTGTGTCCCCACCTGAAACAGTCTTCTGCCTTCACTGCTGCCCTCCTAGTCTGCAGTCATGGAGAAAAGCAGAGGCAGAAAAATCAGAATCTCCTTAGTCCTTCGGTGGAAAGTTAAAATTCATCTTACAAGGGTGGGGGGACCCTGATCATGTTATGCCTCAGCTCAAAAACATTCAATAGCTCCCTACTACCAACAGGAGAAAATCCATACTTGGTCCAGAATTTAAGCCCCATTCCCCATCTGCTTCAGCCTATCTTGCCAGCCATCTCCCTTCCCCCTCCCCTGGTTCCAGCCACAGGAGACTTCTACTCAATCTTTTTTGTCCACATACTTCTGCATCCACTGTTGGGTGTGTGAAATGCCCATCCCTATCTCTCTGCCTGACAAGCTTCTATTGATCCTTTGAAGTCCAACTCATTTGTCCCCCTGCTCTAGAAAGCCTTCTCCAGTTCTCCAAGTCACCCTTTTCTGTGCTGCCAGAGTTCTAAAATATAGAGAATATAGAGGGTTTCACATTGCCTGCTGAATAATGCTATGTGACAGCTCGTGAGTTTCTTTTTTTTTTTTTTTTTCTTTTTGAGTTGGAGTCTCACTCCGTCGCCCGGACTGGAGTGCAGTGGCACGCTCCCAGCCACTACAGTCTCGACCTGCTGGGCTCCGGTGATCCTTCTGCCTCAGCCTTCCAAATAGCTGGAACTACAGACATGCGCTACCATGCCCGGCTAATTTTTTGATTTACTGTAGAGATGAGAGCTCACCAAGTTGCCCAGGCGGGTCTTGAACCCGCGGGCTCAGGCAATCCACTCACCTCAGCCTCCCAAAGCATGGGATTACAGGCTGAGCCACTGAGCCTGGCTTCTTTCTTTCTTTTTTTTTTTTCAAGTTGGGGTCTCACTCTGTAGCCCAGGCTGGAGTGCAGTGGCACACTCTTGGCCTCCACTACCTCGACCTGCTGGGCTCCAGCGATCCTTTCACCTCAGTCTTCCAAGTAGCTGGAACTGCAGGCATGAGCCACCATGCCTGGCTAATTTTTTTATTTATTGTAGAGGTGAGGTCTCACCAAATCACCCAGGCTGGTCTCAAACCCACAGGCTCAGGCAATCCTCTTACCTCAGCCTCCCAAAGTTCTGGGATTATAGGTATGAGCCACTGCGCCCG